CTGTGGACACGATATCTCCAGAACACCTCCAGGGAATCCTTTGGCCTCACAAAACATGTTTTTGGCCTCTTGAACATGTTATAGTCTGCCTTTAGGAAATTTCTTTCACTTTTGAGCAGTTGTCACTTGGACGCAAAGATGATCTGATGAGAGCTCAGTGGTGAAAGGTCACATTCACCTCACATGAGTTTGGAAACAAATCTAAGGAGTCTGAAACTGCACTTGCTGGTGCAAACATACAATTCTAGTAACGGTCCCAAACATTTGATAAGTACTTTACAATTACAGAAGTACAGTAACTTTCTGTGTCTGTGCTGATGGGAATCAGCCACATTCAAGATGGACTGACTCAACTTCTTTGTAGCCATTTTGGGAAGTGAGTGGTAAGTGGTGAAACTCCAGTGTTGCATGACTGCATTATAAATAGGGTAAGAAAGTGTTTTTTTTAAGGATATGAGCTGTAGGGTTGTACCTGAGTCATGAATAGCCACTGTAGAAGTACACCCACTATGTCACATGCATGGACACACAACAATGAGTGGGCAGTTTCTAGGGCATAAAGATATTAAATGATAAAAATGCAAGTGTACTGAATGCTTTGTTTGATTCCGCTCAGAGGGGCCACGCTGACTAAATGTAACAAGTATGGCTCCTGAATCTGTCAGCTTTGCTCTATCAAGTGTCCCAGGAAGGGAAGAGTCAATGTATCTATGTATAAGTCTGTATATTATCAATCAATCCAGTTGTATTTATCTTGCTCATAATCAGGTCACACATTGTATGACGACATGACGGCTCCCCAAATGTGAAGCTAAAGCATCTCGATCGCCCCCTGGTGGCTGGCTGCAGTATAGGTCATAAACCCTGTGTACTCTGTGCATCGATGGGATGTGGACAAAACTAAAAAGTCAAAATACTCATCAAAGATTGGTTTCTATCGTTTTAGGTGTTGGTCATTGGATTTTTCGATTTTTAATTTGATGCAATAAAAACAGGGTGAATCATCATATTTGATCCCTCAGGTCGACTCGCAATTGACCGAGCGCCATATCGGCGGGTCCTCAATACTGTGGCTTCATCGCCCGATCACTACTGTGCAGACTAAGACTATAAATTTGCAAGATGGCAGCGTTTGTATTGGGGATATTTTTTGAAAGTGGAGTCTTCTTTCTATGTGGCACACGAATGAGTACAAGTGTAATTACCATATTTGTCCCTAATATTTGAATATTGTGTGTCCTCGCTCATTATTTTCTCCCCCTCAGGTTGTATTCAGGCTGTGACTCTGGATGTAAAAGAGGGGAACTCCACCTGCATTAAGGCTGAGCTTTCTGCATCATTCTCCATCACATACGACACCATCAGCAGCACGGTACGTACTGTGCAGCGACGGCAGCGTTCTGGTTTCCATCTCTGAGAGAATTTAAAGTTTATCACAAGTCGAATCACTCGTGTCTCCTCAGAGAACGGTGCAGGTTCCTCTGCCCGACTCCGCCACAGTCGACACAGGCAGCAGCTCGTGCGGCACAGACGAGAGTTTGCCGTGGCTGGTGGCGGTGTTCGGACCCGGCCATGCTTTGGGGCTGAGCTTTTCCTCCAATGGGAGTCTGTACAGCGTCGCAAACCTGACGCTGCAGTACAACCTGAGCGATTCGGCAACCTTCCCTGAGGCCAACAGCTCCGGTGAGAACAAACGCATTGATTTGGTTTGATGTCCCCCTTTTTGCCGGGGCCCCAAAGTCCCTTTGAACGCCCCTGCATATACGACAGGAAATATATTTTAGATGTAACTACATTCTGGTATGTTTGTGTCATTGTGTCCTAGATGTGGTCACAGTGGTGTCGGCTACAGTCGGAATCTGGGCGGCAATCAACACCACCTACCACTGTGTGAGCCCTGTCACTTTAAGAGTTGGTGGGGCGACTGTCACTTTCTCTGACATGAGGCTGGAGGCCTTCATGCCAGGAAATGACCTGAGTCCAACAGGTAGCACTCAGATTATCTTATCATGACTGCGTTTCCAGAATGATTGACCTGCTGCTCAGTGGTGGAGTTTATATTTTTTGCTTGTCATAGAAAGCGTCTGTTTGGCGGATACTACCACTACGACAGCTCCGCCCACCGCTGCTGCTTCTACAACAGCAGCTCCAGCACCGACGCCTTCAGGAACACCTGAACACGGCACGTACTCTGTAAAGAACAACAATGGCACGGTTTGTCTCCTGGCTCAGATGGGACTGCAGTTCAACATCTCCTACGTCTCAAAATCTCAGAATAAGGTCATTTAAAGCTTGACAAACAGAGACAGCTCATAGGAAAAATAAATGTTGATTCATTTCAACAGAAATTGTTTCAGTAAACTAGAAATTAAACATTTTTTCTCTACTTTGCCAGACTGTGCAGGATTTAGTAAACCTGACTCCTAGTCAGACAAATGTGTCTGGATTATGTGAAGCCAGCAGAGCTACCTTGGTTTTGACAGAAGAGCCAAACACCACACTCAGCTTCACCTTCACTCTGGTAAATTCATCTCTTTTTTTACACCATCAGTTTGTTATTGTTGGTGTGTGTGGTACAAGTATCTATTCAGCTTCTCCTCTCAATCACAGAACTCCACGACCAACAAGTACCACCTGAGTGGGATATCTCTGCTCGCCATGTGGCCTGATATGACAGGTATAGTGATTTATTCTGTAACAAGCAAAATGCTCTTTTTTTATTTGCCTTGCCTTGTCTGGCTTAAAGTAATGCTCTAATAATTCTGTCCACAGCTCGGTTCTTAGCTAGTAACACCAGTCTGGAATACCTGCGGAGTTCACTGGGCCGCTCCTACATGTGTAACGCGGAGCAAACTCTGATTGTGGAACCAACTTTGTCTCTCAACACATTCAGACTGCAGGTCCAACCGTTTGGAGTCATCACAGACCAGTTTGCTACAGGTACAACTGCCATCACACACTTCTTCTAGCTTTGTCGTATTCTCTATGGAGATTATGTCCTCACTGCTGTTTGTTTGTCTGCATATTTACTAAAAAAAACACTGAACCAATTACCATGAAATCTTGTGTTGGGGCATGTCCCAGGGAGGAACTCATTACGTTTTGGAGTGGATCTGCTTAAACAGGCAGATCCAGCTTTATTCCCTTACTTTAACAAATGTGAGACAGGGCGTTAGCCTTGACAGAGGAATGCGCTCTCCGAGTACCCCCTCCCTTTTTTCTAATTCATTAAAATTGTGAGAGAGGATTATATAATTTCAGATATTTCCACAGGAATAATTCATGGATGTTGATGAAAAAAAAAATCTGGCGTATTTAGGTGACTGATGACTGAGTCTGTGCAATGTGGTGCAGCTTGGTCGAATTTAAGTGTTATTTCCAAGAAGAGCTCGGCTGTTGCTGGCTGTAGCTTCTTGCTCATGAGAGACAGTGTAATTGATCTTCTCATCTCACTCTTCATGAGGAGGTGGCAAATTGTTTATTTGAGAGTTGCTATTCCTAGAGGCCGACTTAACAACTTTTTTTGCTGCATCAAGCTCATTCACACTTGCTTCCCACTGAGTGGCGATCTTTCTGTCATTAACAGCCATGCAATGAGCCAATCACACTAGAACCACGCAAGTCACTGAAATAAATCAAATCAGAGATGAGGAACAAGATCAACAGTTTAGAATCATCCTTCATCAATCCATCTGTTCAGGCTGCAGTGGGACACGACATTTACTGATTCTGTGCCATAACATTTGATCTTTGCCTCTTCTGTGTCTAGCGGAGGAGTGTCAGATGGACCAGGACCAGATGCTCATCCCCATCATCGTCGGGGCAGCTCTCGCTGGCCTAGTGCTGATTGTGCTCATTGCGTACCTAATAGGTAGGAAGAGGAGCCATGCTGGATACCAGACCATCTGAGTGGAGCCTCCATTGAACTTGAACCTGATGGACTGAATAATGGAGAAAAAACCTGTGTGTGAATGAGCAAATGGACACAAACATGAGTGAATGGAAGTGGTTGTTTCTATGTGGCGAGTGTGTGTTTTTTTTGCATCCTATGTGACCTCTAGATATTTTCCTTTCCTTTCACCTTCTCTGTGGAATGATGATGAGAAGCAATATATCTGCTGCGTATAGATGGTGATGAAGCTGGAGAGGACAGTTTGAATGCTTGATAAACATTGACCATCAGCTGCTTTGCTCTACACTTCTAGGAATCAGATGAATTTGCTTGAACTGCTGTTTGTTGTTGTTCCCCATGTAAATCTTTTTTAAAAACCTATTTAATATCCCATGCAGTTGAAGAAGAGGCAAATTAACTGTAGGACAAAGTAGTTTTTTAAAGTTCTGATGTCTTATCCACTGATGTATAAACATTTCAACTTGGGTGGAGTTTTTATTCTTACTCGTGCTCTCTAGTATTTTTTAAAAATCAAGATGAATGCAGTGATTCTGAGATAAGGGAAATCTGAATCTTTTCCAAAAACATTCCTCCACAGTGGAGACTGATACAACTACCCCACCACTGAAGTAAGGCCCAATGAGGTAGCTGGTAATTGTGACAATACAAATGTGGATTGCTGCTCTCTGTAAAAATGTAGCAGTCGGACACACTTCAAGCATCACTTACATTTGTTTTACAGGGGAAGTGAACAGGTGCATGGGTTAGTTTTCAATTTTTGCTTTGTTAATCTAAATTGTTGTGATTTGATCCTTTATTTTTATAGAAAATGATGTGATCTCGTTTTCTATTATGCATCTTCCTGAAAGTTAATAAACATGTTAAAAGTCCAGGACAGATATTTCACATTTATGATTTGTTTTAAGGATTTTCCATGAGATAAACATGGTTGTTTACTCAGAGCTGTTCAACCAGGTGTAAATTACACAGAATACCCAGAACTGGGATCAACACCAAGGATATTTCTGTCCAGAGCAACAAAATCTGATGCCAGTTTTCCTGCAGCAGTTTGCAGGGCAACAAAACACAAAACAAACTCGACAAACCATTGTTAGAAAATGAGAGCAGCCCTTTAATTGCTTCACCATAATGCACAAGAATGAAAAGCATTAGATGAAGGATTGTTGAAAGAAGTTTCTGTCGTGAAATCAATATGATTCACATTGGATTGTGCCAGCATAGTACACCACACCGCTCTATAATATTCATTACAGACACAATAATGTGAAGTGCTGCAGGCAGGTTCCTCTGTGTTGACACATATTTTATCAGACCAGGCCATTTGCTACCAGACCAGCTCTCTTCAGTGTCTCTGACTTATCAGAGTAAAGTGCATTAGTCCACATTTTACCAAAAGAAGATAAACTACAGCACATATTAAGTTGAAATGGAATCATCAGTTCATACAGCACATGACTAATTTTCTCATATGATCATATATAAAACATGTAGATTGTATGGAAACACATGTTTAAGTCAAAAACTACATGGAGTAGTTGTGATTGAGTTTTAAAAAGGTGCAAACAAGCAGCTGGGTGCTCCTCCCAGTGGAATTCATTTGAGCAGCAGGTGAATCTGTCTGGGTCAGGATTCTTCTGCAATGATGCGAGATCGACATGTCGCCCGCAGCTTAGTCAAGGTTGCCATGGAGAGACTTTTTGGTTCCGTGAAGATTTTCTGGGAAAGGCAGAAAACCAGCAGATTATGGAATTAAAGAAAGCCAGTTACAAAATGATCCAATTCGTTCACCTGTTCTTCTTTTACCTGCATGAAGGTGTGGCATTCATCCACAAATGGTCCATGGGTGATCTGCTTGAAGATTTGGCAGACGTCTGGCAGCGACTGGGCCTGTTGAATCAGAGTCTGGTTGTGGTTGATCAGCGTCACAGCAACGCGGAAAAGGATTTTTGATCCCTCGTAGAACAGGCAATCCCAAATCCGCAGAACAGTCTGCAGAAAAATGATGACAGAGAAGTAAATCACACAATGTGATACACAAAGTGACGTTTAACATAGCGATTAAAAAAAAAACACTCAGGGAAGTGCAAAAAAATATTCATTAATATCTATTATATTATGTTGTAATGAGAGTCACATCCAACGAAAATGCATAAACACTCATCATTTAAACCATTTCAGATTTACCTTTAGCTCCAGTGTGCCCTCAAAATCGATCGTTGATTACAAGGGCAAAACACTTGATAACGCTAAGATGCATAACTGAAGTTATGTCCCTAACCTGCACTGGTGGCCGCTAACGCCTGCTAACATCTAACGGTAGTTGGTAACTTAATTGTGCAGAAGACCTTCAAACGTACATCTAGTCCAGTATTCTAGTATTTAAATATAAAGGACCCAATTCATGCAATTTAGATGAAACACATTTGTGAAAACATCACAAGGATTATTTTACATTCAATTTCAGCCAATAGATCCCTTTCACCTAAATCTTACACACTGGACCTTTAAACAATTAACGTTATTTTCCATATCCTTCCCTGCCAGCTACTATAAAACATGTAACTTGGGTGTTTGTTTCAAGAGGAGCGAAGAAAAATTGTGGTGGTTACTCTGAATGAATCGTGATGGGAAATTAATCAAGAGTTGAGTCCTAACAACAGTGAATGGTTGGCCATGGTGGCTGAGAGTGTGGGGAGGGTGAAATCTTGAGGGGGAGCTTGAATATCTCCTAAGTCTTACATGTAACACCCTGCTCAGGCCAACAGAGGGAGCAACAACAATGAATATTCTACATGGTGGATTGGCCATAATCTGTGATTGGAATGCAGTTAAAGCATCACTGGCATAAAATACACACACATGAATTATATGAATTGTGAAGGACAAAGGTGTTTTTGACTCACAGGCCTCAGATATCAATAAAAGTTTTTGTTAAAGAAATTTAAAAAAAACTGAGTGATGCTTCGACAGTCACCTCCACTGGCAAGATGTCTATGTAGAGACAGATGAACCATCGGGAGACCACGAGGGTCCACATGACATTATGATCCACCATGGTCTGCCAAACTCCAGGGATTTTAATCTTCACCAGCTCCCCCAACACCTCCTGGTCCGTCTTCAACCCCAGCATGGCTGGACTGTAATAGTCTGTAACCACACACACACACACACACGCACGCACAGACAGTTAAACAATAGCTGGATTAACAGGACAAACCCGAATGTGTGTGTGTTGTCTGACAAACAAATGCGATCTAAACCATAATTACATCCACTCATTTGAGTGCGTGTAAGTTCCAAATGAAAACGTACTCTGGGTCTTAAGCCACAGACAGATAAAGACCGTGTGACCTCTTACAAGATTATTCTTAGTGAAGAGCAAAAGAGACAACCACAGCATCTATACACACAGCGTTGTGCCAGTTCACACTTAAAATGAACTAGTTCAAAGTTCATGCAGATGAAAATGATCTAGTTCACAGTTCATTTTTTTCATTTGCACAATCTCTGATCTCACTGTGTGTGTCACTCTGAGCGAGTGGGTGGGGACAAAGCCCCAGTGCCTGTGTGTGTGCTCCCAGACAGCACATTTCAACGTTCACTCTGCTGGGGTGAACGTCGCTCACACTCACCATATGTAAAATCGTTTCCAAAAAATATGAACGTGTTCAATGAACTGCACTACACACATCTGTCAGGAGAGCAGTGGCAAATTACAAGGGTGTAGAAACACACACGCACACGCACACACACACACACACACACACACACACACACCTGGTAATATTCTGCCCAGTAGTGCATCCATCAACCAGAAGGATTTCTCTTCATCTTTTGTGATGATGAGCAGATAACCAGCTATGAAGTTCATCCCCTGAAAACAAAAGAGAGACACACTCAGGCTGCACATACAGAAAGCATGAGGAGCTCTAGAATAAAAGGCCAGAGACCACGAGGTGTACGCAGGACATGAAATAAGGAGACAAATAACCATTCCAACTCACACAGGCTACCTGAGCAAGATCAGAGATGAATGAGTTCCTGTTGTACGACATGATGTAACTATCAGCAATCTGATGCCTGTTTGAATTGCAAAAACAAGCTGATTGTGGTCGGGTGTAGGGAAATCACCCTTTCAAATAAGTGGCATGATCATTAACATAGGACGATAAGTTGCCACAAGCAAACTGTCTGCCTGGAGGGACCAACTGAGATGACTGGTAAGAACATGACAGAGCTATAAAAAACACATGATACTTTAAAGGTCCAGGGTGTAAGATATAGGTGAAAGGGATCTAAAGATAGATTTAATCTAAGGGATTTAATGTAGAATAATCCTCATGATGTTTTCACTAGTTCATTTCATCTAAATTGTATGAATTGTAGTTTTCTTTACCCCAGAAAAGGCCCTTTATATTTAAATACTTTATATTTAAATACTTTATATTTACATCGAGGGGATCATCTCTACAGAGGCCGCCATGTTTTTTACATTAGTCCAGACTGAACAAACTAAACACCTTTTGAGTTTCATGTTTGGAAAGAGAGGGTGAGGTGAGGGGTGGTCAGCTGCAACATGTAATTTCAACACTATATATCACAAACTTCTACACACTGTACCTTTAATTCCACAAATAAACAATGCTGAAAATTTGTCCCATAATCCACACAAATAACAAGCACTGCATTTCAGCACTAAACAGAACAATGTGTCATTCTAACACTACAAACAGAAACACAACACACGGTCCTTGACACTACTGAATATACTCACAGTAATCATAACTTAGGTATCAGTGAGTATAGGTATATCACTACGTAAAATCTCAGTATTACCTGGCAGTAGCCCACAGTGGGATTGTGGTGACCATAAGCCAGCAGCACGTTGAACAGAACTTTCTGTAGACATGGGCTGGATGTCTTACGGAACTGGATGTTGTCTGGAAATGTTCTGTTCAAATCTAAAAGAAACCACACGCGCACACACACACACACACTGATCATGACTCTGTGCTGTGTGCAAACAAGAAAGTGAGCGACAGAAGCAGGACAAAGACACTAACTCTGTTATCTTAACTCTCATGTTGACGTAACTTGATTGAAAGTGAACTTTTACAGATGCTTTGGGTGTGAAACTGTAAGAACTCCACACCACTCAAGTCAGGAGTGGAAAATACTGAAGCAGGTACGAGAGCCACAGTGCAAGAAACTGAAAGTCTGTCCACCTTTCCCTTCAGAGAGAAGGATCATTTTACCAATGTTTAGGGAGATTTTACAGTTTTTTTACATTAAGGATGAATTGCTTGTTTCCGGACATAAAAAAGATCTCCTCATTAAAAACTACAGTTATTTATAACTCTAATTGACTTTCCTTTACTGTAATTTATGATTTCACAAGTACTTTACAGAATCCCATCCCTTCTTTCACTGCTGTGCCATTTTCAACCTGAATACCCATAACATAACAATATCATCAGTAAACATCAGCAGTTTATCTGGTCTGGCTAAAGAGAAGTATACAGTATACTATATAAAGTATGTCACAATGAATTGTATGAGCTCTGAAACACCAAAATGTTGAGCATCATCGTGGCGTGTGTGACTCACTGTTGCCTGTAGGTTTTGCAGTGTTATTCAGGACCATTAGCTCGAGTCAGCATAAACTGATGAGCTGAATCAGCCTCAGAGGCAGGCAATGATAAAGAATTCCCTGACGGTGTGTTAAAAAGAAATCTCTTATTTTACCGATTAAGACCAGCTGGCCTTTTAGCTGTCTGACTTTTTTTTTTTCACCTTCACGGTGCAAACTTAATGCAACTATACAGAATAGTGAGACTTTTAATGATGCTCACATTGATGTGAAACTAATCGTTTTCTCTGGATAAGGGTGACGTAAAGGTAAGTGCGTAACAGAAGACATGATCCACCTATAGGTGCTTTCAGACATGCACTTATGTTAGAACATTTTCCTGAAAATTTACAGAGGGGCTGTCAGTTACTCTGGACATTTCCCCTAACTTTTCCTGCCAGTCCCTGGCAATATGTCCAGAAAATGTGTGAGTGAGCCCATGTGAGAATACAGTAGGAAACACGTCTGAGCCAGATAAACGCCAGAAAATGTCTGGACCCAATTTTCCGGACATTTTCTGGAGTTCACTTCCTGGTAGTAGATCTTCCAGATCAGCTTGATGTGAACCAGGTGTTGAAACTGTTTGCAGCCTGACCTGTGCAGATGGTTTCCACCAGTTTGGGGTCGCGCTGGGCTCCAAGCAGGGACTGGTAGTATCCTGGGTTCTTGTCTAACTGGTCTTGAGCCCCACTACATGTCATCCAAATCAGAGCCCGGTGCTCATTGGGAATCCCCTTACGCACATAACGTTTTACTGAAAAGAAAGAGGGGAACATTTAAGGTTAATCCATCAGTTTACTTCATTCAGGACTCACTCCTTGAGGATATGTGTGCTTTCATTTTTCACACTTACATTTTAAATTCTTCTGCACCTTGCTTTTGCCCTTCAGCAGTTTGGACCACTTGATTGCCCGTTGGGTGAGCACAACTAGATACTCGGACATGAGCTCCTCATATGACTCGTAGTCAAAGTCCTCTGGGCGCTCAAAGCCATATGGATCCAACCTGGGCCAAAAAGCACAAGGTAAGAAACTGTTGACAACTAATTCAACACATCAGAATTATCAAGCTATCACATCATAGAACTGTCGCATGTATATCTACATTACCTACGTCTACAGTCTGGTTCTAGATGAGAAGGTTGTGGGTGTGAGTGGCTCCACCCAATGACTTAGGTAACACTATTATCTCCCGGCAGCTTAACCCTTTCATAAGAGCAGAGTCATCCCTGTAGAAGAAATACACACGAGCCTTCGCAGGGTGTAACCCCCCCACCTCTTTTACTACCTACCAAAAACAGTCCAGGCTCTACCTGCTGTGGCTGTGTAAATACTAAACGTATTATTAGGTGAAGATTATGTTCCTCATGGGGGAAATTTTGTTGGCAAAACAAAAGCAAGGGTACACAGAGTGTGTGAATGTGGCACCTGACTGCAGGTTGGTTTTGGTTATCACCATTTGTTTCAACAGTGCAACAGCCAAACTTCTCCCTGGAAAATATCACTATACATACACTGAAGAGTGAAGTATTGAGGTCGCACGTCTACAAAAAGAGTCAACATGCTTTAGCCTGTGTCTACAACTGCACTATATCAACCTTAATGACACTTCAGGCCAATATACACCTGCTGCCAGTTTATTTGCAGTCTAACACAACTGCTCTGCAATAAATCCAACCTTTGTAAAGGTCATAATATTCAGACTGTACTATGTGTTTATGTGTTTATGCCATGTTTAATGGCTGCATTCTGGAATGTGTTGAATTTCAATACTACAGAATTTGGTTAAGTATCAAATTCAATTTGTTAGAAGTTTGTACCACTTTAAGTGTAAGATCAGCAGTGACCAGCACCTCCATCTTCCATCTGGTGTCCCTGACAACTCTGTGTCAACAGAGGTTTTACAACCTTCACTGCGATATAACCTCCACTGAGCAGGTTTGTCTTCACTCTGTCTGTTTGTTTGTCAGCAGGATTAATTAAAACTAACAATATATTTCCACAATACCTTCTGGAAGGTATTAGGTACCTGGGCTAAGAAAGAACCCATCAATGTTTGTGTGGATCCACACAAGTGTGGCTCCAGAAATAACTTTCTTTAACTTTTTTTTTTTACATTTCTCAAAGAGTAATTCATTGCTCTTGAATAACTAATCAGAATTTAAGGGACTGATATCTAAGAATGTGCACTTGCACTCTGCTGAGGAATCATTCTAATTTTATATTGTGGTCATTTTCTGTTAAGTGTGTCACCACACACACGATGTAACTTGGTTTCTGTGTCAATAGCTAACACACAGAAAACATTATGATTATACTAATATCATAGGAGAACATTAAACCTTGAATCTCGAAACCAACCAAACAATAATTTAATTTAACAGTCAAAAGTTATTCATATTTAATAATGAATTGAATGTTCAGTAGATAAAATGCTATTCATTATTCCTAAGTTAGC